CTGATGTGTGTGCATGTGTGTTTACAGCTGATCTGATGTGTGTGCATGTGTGTTTACAGCTGATCTGATGTGTGTGCATGTGTGTTTACAGCTGACATTTTCTCACTGGCTCACTGGCTTTGAGGTCGTTTGGAATGAATCTTGATTCACTCCCCCTCCATGATAAGGGGAAAAGGACCTACACCTTTACTGAGAGTGTTGATTGAGAAGGGTCTTACAACTCAGATTTCGGGAGGGAAACTGAGTTGCTCCAATAAGACCCCTCTTAGGGGCTTTTAGGGCCCTGTGCTGAGGCAGCGCCTGTCTCAGGCAGGGTGGCCTGCTCCTTTGGGCAAAAACATAACCACAGATCAACTTACTTTCCTGGGAAACTTCATTGGCCCCCTCCCGAGAAGCTCCTGGAGCTACCACTTTTCTACATCTTTTCCAGCATCTCACTTCCTCCAAGCTCCTAATGAGATGCTTCCCTGATTGCAAAGCTACTAACAAATTATTTTATCTTGAGGTGAATTATCCCTCCAGGACAAGACTCTGGGGACAATTTTTTTTCAGTTGTCTCTCTTTTAGCTCCTGATAAAAACCCTGTTGAAAGGATTGATTGCTGGACCTTATAAGGAAGCCTAAGGAACAGCAATGTGGGTGGTGGGGGGGGGTGCATATGTCACACACACTAAAGATAAAGATGTGCCAGGAGTTTCTAACCTCACCAGTTCTCCTTGCCCTTCCACTCGGTCTGTTGACCTTGCTTTCCTTCCTAAGTGATCTCAGAAGCCACAATTGCCTCCTTATCACCTATTTCATTTATGAGGCCAGAACCCATTAGCCTCCTCTTCTCTCTGTCCCCAGATATGATGAAAGATGATCAGACTCCACATAGGACTAGGGTGACCAACCACCCTGGTTTTAGCACAGAAGTCTCACAACCCAGGAAACCTCTTAGTCCCAGGTGAACTAGGCTGGTTGGTCACCCAAATGATGGGACCCTCCCTGTGCTGAGGATTAATAAGCCTCCTCAGAGTTGCATTTCTTTTTTTTTCACTTTTTCATGGAAAAGGCAGAGAAGAGTGAATTTAGGGGTCCAGAGCTCTCCACATGCTGTCTGAATGTGGTCTCTGTTCTCCTCGAAGCACAAAGAACTTCTTAGCGAAGGACTAAGACAGAGGTCATAGAACCAGATCACAGCTAGGAGAAATATGTTTAGTGCTTTGAGGCAGCTGGTAAACTTGGTTTAATGCCCCCAAAGGCGATAGGATCTACTATTTAATATATACATGCTTACACATAAATATGGTAGAATTTCTTCCTTATGAAATGCTTCTCTGCCCAGGAGCTTAGCAAGCATATCTGCTTATATAAAATATTATTTCTCAGTGGCATGTCTCCCATATCAAATGGGAACTTGGGTTCAGCAGGGATCCGCAGATTACAACATAGGTGGGACAATGAGAACTTTCCATACCATGGGTCCATATCTTCCGGACTCTCTGGACATGCTTCTGTGGGCCAGCCTGTGTTTGGTGTCTGTAGAGGTCACCAGCAACCTCAACCAGGGAAAGGACAGCAATCGTAGGAATAGGAACCCTTGCCATTGTCCAGAAGATGGTCTCCTTTGCAGAGAGGGCCTCACGAGCAAACTTTGCTGTCTCTTCGGACCAGGGCTGGGATGATGTGGGTGATGCACCAAAGGCCCACGGTGGAATTTCACAGGACAGGACCAGACTTGCTCTGTCTGGACAGCTGCTAGCCAGGCATTGCTTAAATCTCTGGCTTCTGGGAATCCAGGTAATATAGCAGATGTGTGGAAGACTCAGAAGGAGGAGCCTTAGAGCTTGTCCAAGGAAGGAGGAGACCTATGTCTTGCCCTCTTCTCTGAGAAGGCCACCCTCTTCCAGGAAGCCTGCAGTGTCAAGGAGAGATGCTCCTGAGGAGGAGGGGCATGTGCTCCCAGCCACATCTGCCAGATTAGCCTTGACCTTCACTGGGGTGGTAGATGCTGCAACCAGACTGCCCCATGCCTGGGATCAGGGAGTTCACCTGTGCTTCTTCTCAACTTGACTCTCCAGCCCACAGGCTGTCTGGGTGGAAGCCCTGAAACTCCCTGTCCAGCTCACCATCAGCAGCTAGAAAGCAAAATAGATAAAAACCAACGTCTTCAACTGACACCCAAGTACGTGTTTGTAGAAAAACTCGTTCTTTCTGAGATTCACCTTCTCATCTCACCGACATTTCCACTTCTTGCTGCTAGCTTGCTCTGTCCTGAAGCACACTGCTGTCTAGCAAGGGCATGGGGGGTGGGCATGGGGATGGATGAGGGAGGGGATCCAGAGAGGGGCCAGGGAGTGGCTATAACTAAATCGCCTTTAATATTGTCTTCAAGTAAGAACAAAAATAATGTCTCCTTGGTGCTGTGCTGTCTACCCATTTTTCTCTCCTTGGTGGGAGATCAATGTTACTTTGCTCTTTTTCTCTATTACTTTGCTTTGCTCTGGTCAAAGTCCTTCCTGTAACAGCTAATCTAGGGGGAAAAAAAGACTAAGGTATTTATCTCTTCCAGCCGTAATTTGTGACCTCTTTTCCACCCAATCTAGAAAACTAAGGCTGAATATTTGGTTTGAATTTAAACAAACCAGGGATGGATTTGAAGGCCTAAGTTTGGGACACTGTGTTGCTTTGGGCCTTAACCAGCACTTGCCTCTCTCATCTCATCTACAAAATGGAAAGACTCTCTGGGCTGGTAGGATTGTTGTGAGTGCTCCAACATGTATCATCCAAGGGCCACCGTTAGGATTTTTACCAAGTATGTGTTCTGCCTTTACTGTTATTTACTTAATATTTTTATATCAGTCAATTCAAGTTTTCAATTGCATAAATTTATTTTAGAAAGAAACATTTTATCAGTATCCAAAACAGAAAATCAGTATTACTTGCCATAAATAGAAAGCAGCCATAGAGATAAATAAATGAAAATACAACAAGGTTATTAATTTCTGACTGGAAGTCAATGCTCAGAGCTTGCCCAATCCTTCTGTGTTTAAAAGGGAGACGAGGGGGTGTTGGAGACTGTTAGGGGCACCACACCTCCCACAAGGGACTCTTTAAGCTAGGAGGGGTTGAAAGAGAATTTACCAGAGATGAACTTCCAAACTTTCTAAGTTAATGTGATTTAATGACAAGCTGCATTCCACACTTTTTGGAAATGTAGAGAGAAGGGAAGTGAAACTGCTTATATTTTTAACTACTGTTCTATTCAATTCATATTAGGTTTCTCCTTTCCCTTTACCTTTTTTTCCAGCTCATCTCAGAACATATCTTAGATAGTAATAATGATAATGTAGCAGTAATAAGAGAAGTTAACATTTAGTGGGCTCCTTTCTGCTAGGCACTGTGGTAAGTGCTTTACATGGATTAGCTCATGTAATCCTCATAAAATCCTTAAGTGCCAAAATTTCTGCTGCTTTGCAGATGAGAAAACCTCAGCTGAGATCTGGTGACTGGCCCAAGGTAACAGACCTGGGAAGCGGGGATTTGGAATGCAAACGCAGGCAGCTTGATTCTAAAGCCCACAGTCCTAAACGTGCCGCACTGTTCATGATCCGGAATTAATCTATTTCACAGTCAAGTGTTGGACCCTCGGCTAGGAGAGAGCAGTGAACAAGCCAAGGGGCATGTCGCCTAAAACTTGCCCTTCCACGTTCACTTGGGACCTGGAGAGGAAGTTGGGACATGCCTATTCCAGCGTGAAACTCTGCCACTCACTTGCTCTATTGTTTTCTTCTGCTCCCTTCCGCTCGCTGAGCCTGCATTTCCATCTTTAGACAATGGAGGGATGCGGGTAAAGGACTGATCAGGAGGTAAGGCCCTTCTACACTGATCTTTCATAGTCTTTCCAGCATTCAGCTGCCTGGGGTTACTGAATAACCAGCAATGGACCCTGAACATCAGATGCGTGAGCCAAAAGACAGCATTGGTCTTTTGTATCTCGGACCATTGCTGGGGCTGCTCACACCAGCAGTGGTCCCCATGAAAGGCAATTCAAGGTCCCCATGTTTTTTAGTTGGAACCTGGAACACTATTTGGATGTGCTCCTGGTGGTCCCATCAGCTCACCACTGCAGGCACTTTGCAGTTTCTCTGCACTTTCACAACAAGATCTCTGAGCCGCTCACAGCAGCTT